CTAATTATATATATATATATATATATATATATATATATATATATCATATCCCAAGCATAGAAATAAATATAGGCTACATCCCAGAGAATTCCAATATATTTCTTTAAGAACAGCTAATTACACATAAATTTACCAAGTACTCAACAATGAAGAAAGATTAAAACTCCAAAACAAAATCAATTACCAAGTCAATAAAGTACAATTTTAACAATTTTTATCCATTTTTCCAGAATCTATGATGCGTTTGTACGTGTATGTATTTTCATTTTCCATGTTCAGGGACACACATATCATATTTTGTTTTTCTATTTTAATAACTGATCCTGACATATGAATATTGAATTTTGAGAATTAACATATGGCAATAACTGCAATGCATATGGAATATGGTTCCTACCTCAGTCGTTAAGACGATTCAAGGAGATAGGATGAGACCAAGCACCATCGCGATACAAAAAGAGAGAACGCTCAAAAGAAAAGGGTAAGCAAATGGACAAAGAGCAAAGTTAATAGAGAGACTTGGGGGATGTGGAAGTAGAGTGTAGGCCCTTTCAATGTAATGGGAAAAATGTAACCCAAATGTTTAGCCATTGTTTGGGCTCTATTTTATCCAAAACACATTTTTCTCTCTTCTTCTTAACCACACATTCTTCAATAAAATAATATTACACGTAAACCCAAAACTTTTCTTTCTTTTTTTAACCACACATTTTTTTAAAAAATCACTATTCCAAAATAAATTTTTCCCAAGTAATGTTTCTCCAAAGAAATTTTTGGTCCTTAGTCAGTTAATTGGGAAAGTCTACATGGTCCTTCTAAGAGCCTTGCTCACGACATCCATGTGCTCAATCCATACTTAGCAATGTTCAGTGCGGAGGAAAAGGGACAGTTGTACATGAGAGAAGAAATGGCTACATGGATGATTCGTGCCCTTTGCCCTGTCAGTCCATTATTTTTCCTATTCATTTTCTTTCCCCCAAAGGGCACTAGTCCAACTCTAGGCTTAACCCCTACCAACTCACAAACCCAAGCATGGGTGGTACACGGGGTTAATCAACTTTAAAGACAATTATGTTGTCCAGCCAATCAAATGTTCAAGGACATGACCCAAGTTGGTAATTGAAGTTTACTCCCCCTTATCCAGTTATCCTGGTCTTGATTAAGGTTATACAATCCATTCTCAACAAATTACCCTTGAAACTTAGGTAGAACCATTAGCATGAAGGTCAATCAACTCTATCAAACATGGGGAACAAGAATTTTCATTTTTTTACTTTTTATTCTAATATTCTTTCTTTTTCATTGTTAATTTAATTATCCATGCAATAATTACGAATTCCTCTTCTTACTCGTCCCAAAATGGGTTATAATGCACGCTCAATTAGGAAGCCCGGCAATACAGAAGCACAAATTAGTCCTAACATACAATTTGCATTTAACGCCAACTAAAAAATTACTCAACAATTTCAGGAGCACATTCCCATACCTAACACCAGCACCAATCACAGCAACACTTTTAGCAGAAGAACCTGAAAAAAGAATCCCAACAGTTAATCTCTGAAGAAATTTAAAAGTTATTCTAAATTCTAACTTTATAAATGGAAAGTCACTAAGACATATTGTCGTAAAGCAACAGTACCTTGCTTATCTTCTTTGATTGCTGAAGCCATAGCCAGTTTTACAGTCCACTGACGGGAGTTTTTTCCGCCAAAGCGTTGCCGAGTGGATATTAAAGGTGAGCGATTTATCCAGTCATCTCGAGCATTCATCGAATTGCGAATTTAATCGCTAATTGAGTAATTTGTTCAGAAGTTGATGTCCATAAGCGTAAATGACGAAC